GCTTCCCGTTCGACAACGAGCACCGCACTTACAACTTGATGAATTGCCGCAATGTACAACAACATTGGTTCGCCGATGTTTGGCGCGGCCAGGATTGGGTTGGTTGCCAAGATGGCCTTCATTTCTTCCAATCTGGCTGTGGCCGCGTCCGTCCACTCGAAGTGTTCGGTGCGCCGAAGGAGGCGATAAAGGGGTAAAGCCTTTTCTCCTAAGCGGGAGATAAAGCAGCTTAGAGCCGCCATGCATCCAGTTAACTTCTGGATTTGTTTGAGGTTTGTTGGGGTAGCCAACTGTGACAAAACTTGGATTTTGGCCGGATTAGCTTCAATACCTCTACTGGAGACAATGAAACCCAGGAGCTTTCCGGCTGGTACGCCGAAAACACATTTTTCCAGATTGAGCTTGATGTCGTATGTTCGGAGGTTGTCGAATGTGAGCCTCAAGTCGTCTATCAAAGAGTCGACGTGTTTGGTTTCGACGACCACATCATCTACGTATGCCTCTACTGTTTTGCCGATTTGTTTCTCCAGACATGTCTGAATCATGCACTGATATGTTGCGCCGGTGTTTTTGAGCCCAAAAGGCATTGTGTTAAAACAGAAGGGACCGTATGGTGTGATGAATGCCGTTGCGGCTTGGTCGGGCTCCGCCATCTTGATTTGGTGGTAACCGGAGTATGCGTCGAGGAAACGCAATGACTCGTGTCCTGCGGTGGCATCGATAATTTGATCGATGCGGGGGAGGGGAAGGGATCCTTCGGGCAAGCTTTATTGAGGTCCTTGAAATCGACACAAAGGCGCCAGGATTTATCCTTCTTTGGTATCATCACCAGGTTTGCTAGCCAGTCCGGGTCTTTTATTTCTCTAATGAATCCGGCCTCCAATAACTTGGCTAGTTCCTCTCTCATGGCTTGTCTCTTAGGTTCAGAGAAACGCCGAAGAGCCTGCTTGACCGGCTTGAATTCCTTTAGAATATTGAGGCTGTGCTCGGCCAGCCTGCGTGGGATTCCTGGCATGTCTGCAGGGTGCCAGACAAAAATGTCCCAGTTCTCGCGTAGGAACTCTCGTAGTGCGGCATCTACGTCAGGGGTTAATTGTGCCCCGATGGAAGCTGTTTTTGTAGGGTCCGTTGGATGGACTTGGAATTTGACTATTTCATCCGCCGGTTTAAAGGAGGTGGACTTGGATCTCTTATCGAGTATCACATCGTCCATGTTCACCATGGAGCGCAGTGCAGTCAGTTCCTCAGCCGCTAGGGCTTTGGATAATGCCTCGAGGGCCAGTGCGGCTGTCTTGTTTTCGGCGCGGAGTGATGTGTACGGATCACTAGCAAGAGTGATAATTCTGTTGGGCCCGGGCATTTCGAGCTTCATGTACCCGTAATGGGGTATGGCTTGGAATATTGTGAACGCCTCCCGCCCTAACAGGGCGTGGTAACCGCTACTGAACGGGGCCACTTGGAACGTAATCTCTTCGGACCTATAATTCTCCGGCATGCCGAACACCACATCTAGTGTGATTTTTCCTGTACAGCGTGCTTCCCGACTAGGGATTATTCCTCTAAAGGTTGTGCTGCTTTGCTCAATGTGGTTCCAGTCTATTTCCATTTTTTGAAGGGTTTCCCCATAGATGAGGTTTAATCCGCTGCCACCGTCCATGAGTACCTTGGTGAGTCGAAAGTCGTCCACAATTGGACTGAGGACCAGTGCGGCCGGTGCTCGGGCTGTTCGGAATTTAGGTTCATCACTGGCATTGAAGGTAATAGCCGTGTCACTCCATGGATTTATTGCTGCTACGTGGCAGATTTCGGCCATGGTGCAGAGTGTCCGCTTGCGCCTATTATTTGACGCAAATGTCTCAAAGACTGTTAACACCGTATTGTTATTCATGGAATGGTGCTCTGTGGCATTTGGGATAAGAAGATCCTCACCGCTTTTGGCCACCTGCCGGAGTATCCAACATGCTCTAAGGCTGTGCGTTGGTATTGTATACGCTGTACTATGAATTTTGCAGGGTCCATTGAGCCATCCCTCCAGTACGGTTCCATGCCCTGTAGAGGGTTTTTGCTTTTTGGTAGTTGACCCGGGTGTCTTTTGATAGTGCACCCTTTTATTTCGGACTGGGTTCGTATTTAGGGCCGGATTATCCCAAAAGTTTGTTTTGGTTTTCTAGGCACTTTCCATCGCATAGTACTTTCGTACTATGGACGCCAAGTCAGCGAAGCATGATATCTCACGGTGATTTATGGCGTTAAGGATTCCCTTGTCCGTGCAATTATTGCAGAAAAATAAGATTGCGTCTTCCTCGCGACAATCCTTAACCTTGTTCATCGCAAGGAGGAATCTGGCCCAATAGTGATGTACTATTTCCTGGGGCTCTTGCCTGATGTGGGAAAGATCGCTTATGTTTGGGTGGGTGGGTGGAATTGAATCTAAACCCGTACCCGATCTGGGATCCAGGGGCCGAGGGATTTTCAATTTTGGAAATTCTGGTTTCGGGGTGTTGCCCGATAATCCTGGCCCGCTGCCTGACTCTAAGTTCAGGGATTGGATGTTGTCCTCCCGCGAACGGGTATCCGGCTCGGAGAGCTCAGGAATCCGGACATAGTTGGTCCTCAATATGGAGGAGAGGTCGCCGCATTATTCCTCCACCACTGCAATATGATGGGTGACCGGCGGAGAGTTAAATTTCCATTTGATCGGGTTTAAGCCCAATCCGATCATAGACGTAGCGACTCCCAGGGCGGCGATGCGATCCAAGAGCTCGTTTATGGAGGCGAGCTCCACCGGATTCATCTGTTCGGCAAGTGCCGACTTAACATGGAGGTTATTTTCGATGACCCGAGAAGTCATCGTCGGCGCGGCGGCCGAACAGGCGGTCATGATGAAACCGCCTAGCCGGAGAGTTTGGCCGACAGCCAAAGCTCCCCCAACAGTAATATCGTCTTTAAAGACGAGACGAGACATCCTTCCTTCTGGCGACGTCACAGAGGAACTCTCAATGAAAGCACCAATGTCGGTGTCAAAACCGGCGGATCTCGGGTAGGGGGTCCCGAACTGTGCGTCTAAGGCAGATGGTAACAGGAAGCAGGGAACACGATGTTTTACCCAGATTCGGGCCCTCTTGATGGAGGTAAAACCCTATGTCCTGCTTGATTAATATTGATGATATGGGCAGTACAAGAATAGATCTACCACGAGATCAGAGAGGCTAAACCCTAGAAGCTAGCCGATGGTATGATTGTATGTTGTCCTACAGACTAAAACCCTCCGGTTTATATAGACACCGGAGGGGGCTAGGGTTACACAAGGTCGGTTACAAAGGAGGAGATATACATATCCGTATTGCCTAAGCTTGCCTTCCACGCCAAGTAAAGTCCCATCTGGACACGAGACGAAGTCTTCAATCTTGTATCTTCATAATCCAATAGTCCGGCCAAAGGATATAATCCAGCTGTCCGGAGACCCCCTAATCCAGGACTCCCTCACCGTCCTTGATATTGGGCCCCGTAACCTAGGTGTGGCTTCAAATCAAGATTAGCACTAACAATCAGGTATGAAGAGTCACATCTTGACGCTGAAAGACCATAGCCATTTCACCCACCACAGGCTACGAGGACGACGAAAGGTGATGGAGGAGCTCAGCACAATAGGGAGGCGCATCTACGGGCTTCTTTGGAGCGGCTTTGACGAGGACATCTACTGCAAGCTTGAGGACCAGCGAGGCGACCATGAAGGAGGTACGAAAGATATTCGACGGAAGTTCAGCCAAGTTGGACAACCTTTTCACGAAGATTGACGACCTCAACTATGACATCAACCAAATCTACATCCACAGTGACATGAAGGCATGAAAAGATCCTACTACCAAAGGCGTGAGCAAATCTCTTCATGTTTCCCCCGCCACCATAGCTACAGAGACCACATCACGAACAATGGCGGATTCAGAATAGGCTAACGCCCCAGGCCGGGCTTATGCTACAGTGAGGTGCAGATCTATTGTACGCTACAGTTTTGGAGGATTTCTCAGCCACGCCACGGCGGGCGGCCCGGGCTGCCTGGGGCATTGACAAGGAACACAGAGGAAAGCGGTATGCATATATACCTCCTCCGATCATAGGTGCCTGATAGCAAAATTAACAAAAAAAAGGTCTACTCATGTGGATTCCTTTCACCACGAGTATACTGACCAGATTGCACCTACACCGCATGTCGAGCTTCCTCGGTTGGATTGACCGAATCTTCGTCTGTGGCAGAATTATTGTGAGGATTATTTTCAAATGTGGATCACACATCCTGGATAGTGGATTGCGCATGCATCTTCAGAATTGGAAGGACCTACGCCTTGCTGAAGAGTTAGGAAACTATCAATTTGGTTTTTTCAACTGTGAGAAAATTGAGAATTCAAATTTCCAACCATTGAGCAAGCTAGCAACAACATCTTGGTGGGACGCAACCACATGTGAAGGTCTCTGGTGAATGCAACCACATGTTGGTCCGACTTGCCTACTCGGATGTGGTTGCGTTCACCAGATGGTTACATGTTAGTTCAGAGCATTCAAGAGTAATTGTGGATCGCCAAAGAACAATATTGTGAAGGTTTGGAGATCCACCTTGAAGATCTATCACGAGTAATTGAGCCCGGTCTAAGTGATTTTACCTGAAGGGAACAAGATGAAGACATTGGTCTTGTAAGTTTAATCTTAGCCCCTCCAACTAAACGTCAAGTTGTCAAAACAACTTGAACAGGTGCAACAAATTTGAAATATTGATTTAATACACAATGTGTTTTAACATATTTCCAAATAAGTGTGGAGACGTCTTTTGAAACTCTATTGTATACATTTAAAATTTTACAATGTTTATCTCCTATTTTCAAAATTCTGGAAACATTCTACCAAAATATAATCTTTGTGTAGTCTATACACCAAAAAATTCTCCTATATATTGTTAGACATACGAGCGTATCTAATGGAGGAAATGTCAGCCGTGTCTGCACTAACTATGTGGTCGCCGTGCTTGCCGCTGGCACACTTGGCAAGGGGAAAATTCTCTGCCCCCGTGACATTATCGCGTGGGGATCATATTTGGCCTTGAGCTGAGAGATGTTGCTCCACTTGGCCCCAAAATGTCGCCGCCATCCATCTTGTGATGTGTAGTGTGGCAGATACTGCTTGCACTCGATGCCCTCCTTGTCACAAAATGCCAGCATCGATTGGTTCTCCCTCTGTAGACGCTCTAGGTCATCGGCAGATAGAGCCGACCGAAGAAGTCCCACCGTGTAAAATACGTCCTCGCCAGTGGGTGGCGTCACCGCTGTCATGTGGGAGTTCCATTTGGCCGTGTTCATAGGGTACATGAGGATGAGCCCGACTGGGTTGTCACCCCCGAGGATGCCTTTGAGCACGCCAGTGTCGAAGTCGAGAATGCGTGACCGGGGGACGAAAAGGTTCAGCCATGGGTGTGGCACATCCCACACGCCAGCCGACCGAAGCACAGTCTCCTCCACGCGTACGCGGTTGAGGAACTGGAAGTACGTCACATCCTTGGTGAACACGAACCTGGGCACAAAGCTCAGCTGAGCTAGTACCATCTCTAGTTTCTGGTTGACAGATGGGGCGGTCGTCTCATCATAGTACATGGCGGCTTCGATGAAGTAGATCGCGCCGGAGCCAGTCTCGGATGCGAGGTCAGCAAGCGTGTTGATATCGGCTTCGGAGAAGAAGGGCGTTGACTTGGGGCCCTCACTTAGCGTCCGGTTAAGCTGGACTTGGCCTTCGACATAGTCAAAACTTGCTTCGCTAGCGTGCTTAGAAATGAGCAGCTCCTGGTCTCTGGTGAACGCAACCACATCCGAGTAGGCAAGTCGGACCCAGCGCACCTGCTTTGGGGCCGACTCGAGAGCGATCCGAGCCCGGGTTATGATCCCGAACTGACCCAGTCCACCCAATGCGGCGAAGAACAGGTCCTTCCTCTTGTCACGTGAGCATGTCACCATCTCACCCGTCCCGGTAACCACGTCAAGCTCGTGCACATTGGCGATTTGCGGGCCATGCCGGAATGCTTGGCCGCCAATGCCAGCATTGGAGAGCGTGCCGCCAACGGTGAGTTGCAGATAGTCCGTCCACGCGCGCGGCGCGAGGCCGTGCTTCAGCGTCGCACGGAGAACGTCGACCCACAGCTGCTCGCCGCCCGCGTCAACGTAGTCCGCGGACACGTTGATGCGATGGTAACCGCGCCCAAGCATGTGCATGTCGACGACGACGCCACCCGGAGCGAGAGACTGCCCACGGACGGAGTGGCCCTGCCCGCGCGGTGACACGGGGAATGGCACCGGCGAGGACGTGGAGAACCGGATGAGCGCGGCGATGTCGGCGGGCGTGGCAGGGTGTAGAACGGCTTCCGGGGCGGCCTCCATGATGCGGCCAAAGTCTGACGACGCGCTCGCCGTTGAGTTGCAGTCGGTGCGGATTTTAGAGGCGATTCCTAGGGCAAAGAGATCACCGGGAAGGCCACTCGCAGGCATTGGTCGGAGTTGGCCGGCAACGACGGAGAAGAAGCTCGCCATGCCGATAAGAAACGCTGCGAGGCGAGTTCTTGCCATGTCGTTGCAGACTTGCAGTGGCGCTGATTTGGAACTGTGCGACGATTGTAAGCTACTGGCTTTGCCTGCTGCTTAGGTGAGTAGAGAGAAAGATTGATGCGTCTGTGTTGTTTCAGGTCAAGAACTTTGATGACATTTTATAGGGTAGCATTATGCCTCGCAGAAGTTGACAAATGTAGGTCGTGCAGAGTTCTTGTATTTTTTTCTCTAATATTCTTTTGAATGTATTGACTTTAGAGGGTAAAATAATTAAGGGTGCCGAAAGCATGGTTAAGAAAAAAGAAAGTTAGTGGGATAGCTGCATCTCTTGGTTTTGACTTGGATAGTACTTAACTAATGATTATTGAGAAGAGACTCCAAACATTTCATTTTTTTTCTTAGATTTGACTCGGAGCTCCATTGGCTGGACACGTATAATTTTATCAACATAGTGGGCAAAAACTCGCCAGCCCAATTCATTTTGAATAAAACAACATGTATAAACTGACCCAATTCTCACTCTTTCATTTTTTTATGCCATGTTAGAAGTGATTCTGTAAACAGAAATTCATACTGCATGAATTTGATGGTAATTTCTGAGGGGTCACATGATATCTGAATGAATCAATTGGACTTGGAGAACACTAATTTGTCAGGGACGCTGACTAACAGAGTGATGTTACATGCCGTTAAACTAGAAACTAACACTCAATTTCTAACGCAATTTGCTTCGACGTATTATTTAACAACAAAATCAAAATGTCACCTCACAAAAAAAAATAACAACAAAATGTCTCTACTACCCATACGCTTGGTTGACATGACGCGTCCGACGATCTGCTAACCAAGTTTTGTTTATCATGTATGTCAAGTTGACCTTCCGGTTTGTTGATGTCCGGCACAAGTAAATATATTTGCTTGTCCCGAATACAAATATTCCTGGTTCATGTGAGGTCAGTATGGTTTTTATTTATTTATTTAAAAAATCCCCGAGACGGCTGGAGATGTAACTATAAACAAGGCACATGATATAGGTATATTAATTGCAGTTTGGGAGGGTGCATGAACGTGGAGGCAAATATATATCCGGACCAAATCAAATCTGCAGATACATCAACCCCTTGAATAATCTCCACGAGTTAGTGCACATCACTTCACAACTAGTACCTGCTCTTCAAAGAAACTCCAAGGCCAACTGAAAGGGCATGCCCTATGGTTCATGCACTCAAACGGCTATATATATTTATTTATTTTGAAACTCAACCGGCTATATATTGTTGACTGGTATATTAAATAGTGCATTATTATGTCTGACAAAAGTCGGTGTGCTACTAAAAACACTTAGCCTTATCTTTATCTAATACTTTCTTCGTTCCTAAATATTTATCTTTTTAGAGATTTCAACAAGTGATTACATACGGTGCAAACTGAGTGAATCTACACTCTAAAATATGTCTATATATATTCGTATGTGGTAGTCCATATGAAATCTCAAAAAGACAAATATTTAAAAACGGAGGAAGTAATAGGGAAGGAGAGTTTTTGGCCGCCCGTCACGCTTTTTGCAGAACAGCCCCCCCCCCCCCCCAACATTTTTTCTCAAATCGACCTGGAGTCCTGTCTTAAGTGAGAATATAGAAATGGTTCGTGTTTTGCAGAAAACTCCCTAAGGTTTTCTTAAAACGTTTTTTTTTGCATAGAACCCCCTGAGATTTCGGTTAATAAGACCAATGTTTGTCTAGAAAATAACGTTTTTAACATATTTATATGGTTTTTAATATTCATATATTTTAAACCATAACTCTAATTTTCACATATTATATATGAAAATTGATTAGAAAAATGTGTAGAATCTGAATATGATGTTTCTTTTACCTGTTAATCATTTTTAAATGTTGTTTAGGGATAGATTCAAATGCTTTAAAAATATTAAGATCTTTTAAACCCTAACTCCAATTTAACATATTATATATGAAAATTAATTACAAAAATGTGTAGAATCAGAATATGATGTTGTTTCACTTGTTAATAATTTTTTAAATGTTGTTTCAGATAGAACCTTAATCGGTAGTGCACGACCCGTCTTCCTTTCATATCAGCGTCGATCCAGATTGAAAATGAACACCTCGGTAAAATAAATGAAGATGAAAGAAACTATCTACAACCATGCATCTCCATCGGCGAGAGTGGGAAGAAGGATCGACGACAAGCGTGATAAGATGGCATATTGAAATAAAGGACGTGGGCCTATTGGGGTTTTGAGCCATGGTTATTGTGTTAGAGGCGTGTGGTATTTTTTCTCCCATTGCAACACACGAGCTCTTTTGCTAGTAGTAGTGCATGTTAAACGTAGAAAAAAATTTGAAGGCTGTAAGAGGAAGCTATCTCCCGTTCGTCGTTAGACATGCATTGTTCCCCCTCGGAACCACGAGACTTCTATTGAGTTGCTCCGGTTTGTGAGGGGTGTGTATCCAGACTTTCGTCAAACATGACAAATTTTTTATCACATCACCTTGGTGGCATGACTTTACATCAAGTAAGGTTCCATGTGTTTCTGATCATTTTTTAATTTTTTAGAATTAAAATGTCATGGCACTCCATGCATACATATGCATGTGTCCATGTCGTGAGACCAATATGTTTGAAAATTCCTTCTTATTTTCTCCACATGGAATTAACTCGCACACAGGCACACAAATATGATTTTTCAAAACCGTTATAGTTAGGCATTGCATGTAGATGTAGTTCAAATTTGAATTATGGTCATTAAATGGCTAGAAAATCACTTAAATGTCTTTAAAAGGTCAAATGACTCCTAGAATTTTCCAAATTTTCACATTACAGTTATAGTAGTGCACGTTAAATGTAGAAAAAATTTGAAGGCCATAAGAGGAAGCTATCTCTCGTTCATCATCAAACATGCATTATTTCCTCTCGGAACCACGAGCCTTCTAGTGACTTGCTCTGGTTTGTGAGGGGTGTGTGTCCAAACTTTCATCAAACATGCCAATTTTTTTACCACATCATCTTGGTGGCGTGACATTACATCAAGAAAGGTTTCATGTGTTTCTGGTGTTTTTAAAAAAATTTGAGAATTAAAATACCATGTCACTCCATGCATACATATGCATGTGTCCATATCGTGAGACAAATATGTTTGAAAATTCTTTCTAATTTACTACACATGGAATTAACTCGCACACAAGTACACAAATATGATTTTTCAAACCATTATGGTTAGGCGTTGCATGTAGATATAGTTCAAATTTGAATTATGGTCATTAAATGGCTAGAAAATCATTTAAATGTCTTTAAAAGGTCAAATGACCCCTATAATTTTCCAAATTTCCACATTATAGTTGTAGTAGTGCACGTTAAACATAGAAAAAAATTGAAGGCCATAAGAGGAAGCTATCTCCCGTTTGTCATCAAACATGCATTGTTCCCTCTCGAGCCTTCTAGTGAGTTGCTCCAGTTTGTGATGGGTGTGTGTACAAACTTTCGTCAAACATGCCAACTTTTCTTACAATATCATCCTGGTGGCATGACATTACATCAACCAAGGTTTCATGTGTTTCTGATATTTTTTAAATTTTTTGGAATTAAAATGCCATGGCACTCCATGCATACATATGCATCTGTCCATGTCATGAGACAAATATGTTTGAAAATTCCTTCTAACTTACTGCACATGAAATTAATTCACACACAAGTACACAAATATGATTTTTTTTCAAATCGTTATGGTTAGCCGTTGCATGTAGATGTAGTTCAAATTTGAATTACGGTCATTAAATGGCTAGAAAATCACTTGAATGTCTTCAAAAGGTCAAATGACCCCTGAAATTTTCCAAATTTTCACATGACAGTTGTATTAGTGCACGTTACACGTAGAAAAATTGAAGGGTGTAAGAGGAAGCTATCTTTCATTCGTCATCAAACATGCGTTGTTCCCTATCGGAACCACGAGCCTTGTAGTGAGTTGCTTCAGTTTGTGAGGGGTGTGTATCCAAACTTTCGTCACACATGCCAAATTTTTTACCACATCATCTTGGTGGCATGACATTGCATCACTCAATGTTTCATGTGTTTATGATATTTTTAAAAAAAATTAGAATTTAAGTGCCATGGCACTCCATGCTTAATTGTGTCATAGCCATTAGACCAATATGTTTGAAAATTCCTTCCAATTTACTGCACATGGAATTAAATCGCACACAAGTACACAAAATATGACTTTTCAAACCGTTATGGTTAGCTGTTGCATGTACATGCAGTTCAAATTTCAATTATGGTCATTAAATGGCTAGAAAATCACTTAAATGTCTTAAAAGGTCAAATGGCCCCTAAAAATTTCTAATATTTGACATGATAGTTGTATTAGTACTACAAAATTTCTCGTACATTTAAAACACCATCCGTTGCCACTTTAGTCCAAATTCGTCTTTCACAGCTAATAAAAAATATCTACAACATCACACATAGTTGTTTTCTAGGAACCAGTTGTGATGAAAATATCTGGGTCTATTTAAGTCTTCCTCCTTAAGCTTCGCCGGCTCGTCTGCTCCAGTGCCGGCAACCCCCGAATCCATGAATCCCGATCCCCATTCCCGCACCCCCCTTCTTGCAAAGATGACGCCGTGGAAACGCTTCATGAAGGCCCGTACAATGGCGGCGCCCCCCTCCCCTCCACGAGCGTCGCCGCCTGCATCGTGAGCGCGGCCGCCAACGCCGAGATTGCCGCCGCATCCGCATTGAGCGCGGCATCTTCCGCCAAGAGGGCATCTGCGGTAGCCGACAAGGTAGCTGCAGCAGCCAAGACGGCTGCAGTTGCTACTGCGACGGGGGCTGCAAACGCCGAGAGCGCTCGAGCTGCCGTCCGTGCCGCCGATGTCGCCCTAGCCCAGGTCGAGGCCATCCACGCCAAGATCGAGGATGCATACGCCAAGATATTTCAGGCCACCTCGGACTCCAGCATGCAACCCACGTTCGAAAAGGCGGCGGTGGACATGGAGCACCTG